ATCATGCTTTGACGTGCAAGAATCCAAAAGTTAACAGGTTGTTGCATGTTGATATTTTTACCGAAAGTAACTTTTTTTATTATTATTATTTTTATTATTATGCAAAATTGTCGATGAATCAATATTTAGCTCCTAATCCGTTTGGAAAATATTGTTTATGCAGAAGATAGTAAATTTAATGTGCTTCACTACTGTAGAAAGAAATTTTAGATCCGCCTGCTATATAAAAGAAAATATACAATTAAGTGAGAGCACTTTTTCACATCTCTAAAATTGTACATGACAAGTAACCCCCATTTTTCTCTATGAGTATGCGATTCATTTCATGAAGTATGAAAAATTCGGTTTGTATGGGAGGTGCCACGCCCTTTTTTCCAATAGCTCCAATTTTTCTCCATCGGTATGCTATTGATTTCCCCCATACCAAGTTGCTGTACTCTACCATGAATACTTCCAGAGATGCAGTTTGAAAAACTCGGTTTGTATGGGAGGTGCCACACCCCTTTATATATCTAAATATTTTTCAGCAGTAGGTGTCCAAAATTTCAAAAAAATCGGTAGAGCCGTTCTCGAGATTTGCGAACAGAAAAAAACGGCTGTCAAAATATATACATATTAGTATAGATTTGCTTTGTAGTGCCACTTTGAATCATCTATATCCCCTTCTGATCCAGTATCAGAATATATTCCACCTTTGGGTGAAATAAATGAACAACATTTACTTTCACAAGCAGAATTTAAAGATCGTGTACGCGATTTAGAATTGTCCAAATAACTTTTAGGTTCAAGAATGAAACAATGGAAATTTTCGCAAGAAAATGTCAAGATTACATTTCGTAGAACTGATAAAACTGGTGCTTTTGGATCACTATTCAGTGAAAGCACTAAAAATAGTAATTTGGTTTATTGAAATGATAGAAATGCATTGCTTGACAAATTTGGATATAACCATGTCACATATGATTGGCGTCTATTCATTGTTGGTTCAACAAAAAGTAAAATTAAAACGTTTATTACATTATTGCATATTCTAATCTTCTTTTGTTTTTAAGGTTCGAAGGCAGTGCATTTACACAACAGTGGCTTGTTTCCATCAGTCCCATTGGCTTACGCTACTGATATCAAAGAATCTTATGACTGGATGGCTGAAATATTAAATGTCATAGATTACAAAATTCACAAGTGGCTAATTGTAGCAGATTTCAAAGTACTAACAATTTTTAATGGCATGCAGGGTGGTAGCACAAAATATCCATACTATTTTTGTGAATGGGACAATCGAGTGCAACTTAGCCTACACTACGTTCAAAAATATTGGGTCCTACGTACGTCATTTGTAGTTGGTAAAAATAATAGTATAAATATTCCTCTAGTTAATCTAATGGACACTATTTTACCACCTCTGCATATTAAACTGGGTTTAATAAAACAATTTGTGAAAACACTTGACAAAAATGGTCCAACATTCAAATATCTTGAACAAATTTTTCCACGAATAACCTACGCGACATGATTTAAAACAAAATTAAATTATATTACCTTCCTTTTATTAGCTCGGGATGTAACTATGTAATATTGATGCGCCTAAAAGATGCAGCGATTTCTATTCTCAAGTTACATACCTGATGACAGTACGAATGGCAATTATAATAGGGAGGTTTTAGTTTTTTAACTATAATTTTATTTTTAGCTGGTATTTTTGTCGGTCCACAAATACGGGAACTGATTAGGAACGGCAATTTTTTACAACAAAGGACGTCTTTAGAAAAAAAAGCATGGAAATGTTTTCTTCTTTTCTTGAAAACAAAAACAGGGAACATTATGAAAACATAGTGAGTGACATGATGCCTGCCTACCATGCCATGGCATGCAATATGTCCATTAAATTGCACCATCTGCATGCTCATTTGAATATATTTCCATAAAATTTAGGCCATATGAGCGATAAACAAGGTAAACGATTTCACCAGGAAATTCTAAATATTGAGCAGCATTAGTATGCTCTCCAACTACTGTTAGTCTCTTCAAAGAGATACTAGCAGCAACGTATATAAAAAACCAACAAAACGAAAACATTTCTAGCAAAATAAATCACTATCACTAAATAAAGCATTACTAAGCCATTTATTATTCGATTTTAATTTACTTATGACTTTTGGAAAACTGATTTTATGTACTTTTTTATAAGGATCAAATAATTTGTTTCTATTGCCTCACGATCAAATAAGAGCGCGAAGAAAATTAAAGTTTTTTGAAAAATTTACGTTTTTTTTAATTAATCTCTGGACAATGGATGTATGCCATTTTTTTCATTTGGTGGCACACTAGTTTTATTACTTAACATTCGGTCGTTATGGAAAGAACATTTTTACCATTTAATATTGACATTTTGAAGTATCTTAAACTTTTAAGCAGGGATCACACGATTTGTACATTTGTACAGATTTGTAAATTTTGGCAACCACAGAGTGGTGTTGTTAGAAACTTGAGTTCAGCTTAATAACTGCCAAAATGTAATAATCGTGTGATCCCTGCTTTAAAATGAAAAACTCGTTAAATTTCAAAAATTACAAAATAGCTGCGAAAGATATTCTGCATGCTGCCATTTTTTGAATTTGGTGGCACACTCTTGAAACTTCACAGATATGCTATATTTGATGCGAACTTTCATTGCCTCTAATATATGAACATTCTATTTAAAAACTTCGGTACTTTTCGCTTAAATAAACGTTTTATGGCTAAAATTGTTCAAATACTTGATTTATTTTTTATTTTACTTGTTTCTGGAACTCCATTGATTGAAATAAATGCAAGAAGAACGTTTTAGTGTCTTTTTTTCCGAGAGAAGGGAGTGAAATTAAAAACAAAACAACTTGTGAGATTTCATTTGAGATTCTTTAATCATTATGCTGAGACTGCAAAGCCATTGACCGATGTTACCAAAAACAAGAAAAGAAGTCTAAGTTCGGGCTAAGCGGAACATTAAATACCCAGCGGACGTACTACGTATATTTTTTTAACCTTTCCAAAAACTACCATTATAGGCCCTTACTATAAGTTGCTATCGAATTTTCTGTCGAACAGAATTTAACGCTCGATGCTGTAGCGAAGTGTTGGAAAATTGCGAATAATTTTAAACTGTTTTTATTAATATCATGCAGGTATAACGTCGTGAATACTAAACACAATCTCGAAAGGCTGATTTCCCAGAAAGAACAAAATCGTAGAGCTGTTGATAGTTTTAAAATATTTTAAATAGATTTGGCTCGATAGCATTGCTGCAGCAGGTTTTGTGTAGCGGTCAGCCTTTTTAGACAGTTGGACAGTTTTTAAAAAATCTGTAGACAAATTTCCTAAATATATTATAAGTCAAAATATATTCGAAAGACTACACTTAAACATTTTCTACTCCTGGCCAGTTTACTAAGCTCTCATCGTCTGACGAATTGTCGAAACAGAACTCCGTTATACTAATTTTTACCAAGTTTTTATAAACTCGCTTTCTTTTTTATTTCATTTTAATTTGCACAAATTTACATAAATATGTATAAGTACACTGTTTAGTTTGCTCGATTTGTAAACAAAGCTTCTCAGCGGTGAAAAATATACTATTGTGAACAACCTAAACGAGCGAAATTCACAATAGCGCTATTCTTCATCGAATGAGCGTCATAATACCAAATGAAAATTCGTTCGATCAGCACTTTCGACCACAGTCGAAGATCGATTGCAACTCATTATAAGGGCCATATAGGGTGGTTACGCCCTATTTCAAACATCTTCGATAGTATGTTTTGTTAGACTAAATGAGATAAAGTTGTGTAGTCATAAATTGGCCGTACCACGACCATTTTCCGAAATTGCATAATAATCTTATTTATTTTTAAGAGGGTGTTATAAGTATTAAATTTGAGTGAATTACCGAAATGTCGAAGTTTCGGTAATTCTGAAATTTGCCGTTATGTGTGAAAAGTGGTTATAATTGGTGAACCGGTTACCGAGATATCGTGCGCACAGACGGGCGGACGGACAGACAGTCTTTGCTTAATCAAATTTTCTTTTCATTCTGAGCATTTATGTATACATTTGTCTATATCTATTTCGATTCCTTTAGACTGTTACAAACAACCGTTATGTGAACAAAGTTATAATACCCTGGTGTACAAGTGCGCTCGGGTATAAAAATAAATCATGAAATTGGGAGCGTTTGCAAAGCAATGCCCGCCGCAGGCGCAGGGCGGCCCACTTTTTATTATCAAGACTGATGCTAGTGCATACGCACTCGGAGCAGTTATACACCAAGGGGAAAGGAATGGAGACCAACCATCCCATCGAATACGCTAGCACTTTTTCATTTGTCAAGCCAACTACAATCAAGCGCAGCTATTCCGCTGATATTTACACTTGATCATGTGGTTGTTGGTTTTGTTGGTTTTTGTTAATAATTCTATTTTTAGAATATTTAACGTTTAGGTATTTCATTTATCGAATCGGTATCGGGTACCGAAAAGGAAGTATTGGGTACCGCAATTTTTTGCAAGTATTGGGTATTGACAATTCAGCACATCACTAGTTACAATACAAACAAGTAGCAAGCGTCAATTTGAGATCATAGCGGTGGAATTTTTTGGACCCTTGCTAAAAATAAGGATAGCTATCAATGGATCATGATTGCACAGGATGTAGCTACACGCTGGATGGAAATTACCCATTGACAGAAGCTACCGCTAGTAACTGTAGCAGAATCCTGATCAAAGAAGTGTTTCTCCGCTATGGTATACCCTAAAGTCTGGACACATACGATGGAATGCAGTTTGTGTTCGCCATAATTCAGCAAGTGACACATTACTTCGGTATTCAGCAACGGTTTATCCGCACGTATCACCCAATACTGCATACTGAGTTTAAGCTTAGTTTGGATGACAAACAGAGTTAAACTCGCACAGAACTTGACCCCAAAAGGAACTAAATTAGCATTGGCATTGACAGTAAAATCTTACTTTAATTCCTGAGCAATTGCCGCAATCTGTTCGACACGATCCTGATGAGCAGCTAAATCGGATTCAAAAGCCTCATGCTTTTTCTTGAGGGCTTTCAAGTCATTTAATTTACATTGACGGAAGTCTTGAGACTGCAACATCTCTTCTTTTCCGCGAGTCCAATCCTCATGAGCATCAGCCTTTTAAAAAATTATAAGAATAAACAAATTTAACGCAACAACTTTTCGAAAATTGTAAATCTACCTTGTGCTTGAATTTTTGCGCCAGATGTTCTAAGCGTTCCAAGCGCATTGTTTCAGCAAGAAGCCATTCTTCAAATGCCTTTTCCGCTAACTCCAGTCCTTTCCAAGCATTCGAAATATCAGCGACCGTCTTGCCCTCGGTCGGTAGATATGCCGGACGGTTAGATAAGCGAAGTTTTGTTTGCAAAGTATTGAAGTTTGTTTCGAGTTTTGCTTTTTGTTCCACACGTGGCGGCTTGTGCTTGCGACGATAGGTTCGGTATTCTTCTAACTTCTTTTGTACACCGGCCAACGAATTGTCTGCCTGGCGAGAGTTTAACCATGGCATTGTCCGGCGTATCCATTCCAAAAGCTATCACAATCGAAAAAATCATAAAAAACGGCACATCATTTACAAATATTACTTACATCGCTTGCAAGACGTTCGTACTCCTCCATGAGGCGCTCATTCTCCTGGTTCACCTTAAGCACTTTACAAATACGGTTAGCTGCCGTCTCCGCCTAACAGTAGATAAAATACTTAGTTGTAAATAATTGCGAAATCACTTTCGGAAAATTATATTGGAATGAACGCCCTATAACGAAAGTAAGGCAATTAAGCAATAGCAAAACCAAGCGATTAAAAAGGGGTGTTACTACGCCGTGTACTTACATAAAAACAAGGCTTTTAACCTTGCATGTATTAATTAATTATAATTTTGTATGTACTTCTATATGGATAACACTGTTTGTTGTGTAATTTTGTACTCATTTTACAGAAAAAGAGGCAACAACAAAGCCGCAAATCCTTATAAAGTGAAATTATAGGCCAAGTCTGACAAAACCTTTGATTTTAAAAATACACCCACTGATCAAAAGTGTTATTCACATAGAACAATGAATATTATGTATTTATGATGTTGCTAAAATTTTGTGACGAAAACCGACCTTTTGAGCGCCACTAAAGCAATGATAATACGATGACACGTACGTCATGACTGCTCTTTCATCTGGCAACGCAGTATTCTGCAAGTCTGTTAGGATGCAAGCAAAGAAAAAGCAACAAATAGAACACAAGTTAGTAATATAAAAATTCAAGCAGCCTGCAACTTTTTGATAGAACCTATTGCCTATAATACTTATAAATAAAGATAAGTAAAGCAGTACTTGATAATTGCAAACCCTGGAAACTTAGTAAAACAATGCAAAATCCACATGCAGCAGATTGTTAAAAAAATGGGTGCACACGTGCCAAAAAATATTCAAGAAGATACATTCAGGCAACGGGTGACAAGGATGAAAGCGATGATCGATGGTATTGGATCTAGACCACATAGAAATGCCCAAAATACAATAGCGCGGTGGCAGTGACAGTTTTTTAACTCAGCTGTTTTTTTTTTAGAAAGTATGCTGACCAATGAAGCGACACAGAACACACCTGTGGCAGCTGGCAATACTGACAAGCTTACTTCGTCTTCTTCAACTTCGCGTTTTGAATTTGATTTACCCTGCGATTCAGTAAGCGGCCTCTAGTCACTAATAGTGACTTTTGGTGGTGATATATGGATTTCGAGACTATTTGTAAGCTGTCTCACGTCTCAAGTCTCAAAATAAAGTCACTAATGTGTCAGCTGGAAGGAAAAGATAACTGCTTTATTTAAAAAAAACGCGAAAATGAAGCGAAGAAATATTTGTTCAACAATTTAAATAGGAAATAAACCAAAATGCTTTCATATCATACAAATTCATTGAAACAAATTTATTTTTTGTTTTTAAAACATTAAAATCTAAAGATTATGTAAAAAAAAATAAAACTAACAAAAAAAAAGAAAAAAATAATAATAAATCCTCAAGTCCGAAGATGACCCGGAGCTCTCGACCGGCACCCTAATGCTTTGACCACTCGGCCATTGCGACTCTTTGAGCGGCGCGGGCAAAAGGCATACATACATAAACGCTATCAGTTGACTGTCTGTGTTTGTTTCCACCACACATTTTTGTTGAACTTTTTGTGACTCTCTCCTACAGAATACCCAAATCATTTCAAGTCACAAAAACAGTCACTAATTGCTAGTCTCAAATTTAGTGACTTGAGATGAGACTGAATTACTGAATCCCAGGGTTAGTATATGAAACGAAGACAACTTCTGTATGTCACTGAAGACCATAACACAACAACAATAATGTACAAAAGAATAAATGAATGTCAAATAACGCATTCACTGCCAACGCCCGATTGTGTTTGCTGCGGCAGTCACTGCTAATATTAGCGGTAACAGCTGATTTCTTTCACTACTATTGCGCTATTATATTTATTTTGGGCTAACGAGTCATTGCAAATTTGCTTCAGCTGTGTTCACAAATGCTTACATAGACACACACATATATTGTATATACAATGTCCTTAATTGTAGGAGGTAAATTTTTACATATGATTTCCTAAGCCTCAGATATCACATATAAATTTTAGTCCCGATTGGAGACAGTTAAGGCGTGTCGCACAGGGGGCAAAGTTCAGATTCATTCCTCTATGGAAGCTCAAAAAATTAAAATTATTACTTTTTCATCTAATACCCAAAATCGATACTACTATAGTCGAAGATATCACATATAAATTTTAGTCCCGATTGGAGACAGTTAAGGCGTGTCGCACAGGGGGCAAAGTTCAGATTCATTCCTCTATGGAAGCTCAAAAAATTAAAATTATTACTTTTTCATCTAATACCCAAAATCGATACTACTATAGTCGAAGATATCACATATAAATTTTGGCCCCGATTGAAGTCGGTTAAGGCGTGGCGCACAGGGGTCAAAATTCAGATTACCCTATGAAGACGTCTTAACAGACTCCAATCGGGACCAAAATTTGTATGTGATATCTTCGACTTTAGTAGTATCGATTTTAGGTATTAACTAAAACAAATATTTTTAATTTTTTGAGTCTCCATGGAGCATCTGGCCTTGGACCCCATCGCGACATACCTTAACCGACTCCAATCGGGACCAAAATTTGTATGTGATATCTTCGACTTTAGTAGTATCGATTTTAGGTATTAACTAAAACAAATATTTTTAATTTTTTGAGTCTCCATGGAGCATCTGGCCTTGGACCCCATCGCGACATACCTTAACCGACTCCAATCGGGACCAAAATTTGTATGTGATATCTTCGAATACGGTAGTATCGATTTTGGGTATGAGTTGGCAAAAAACTAATAATTTTAATTTTTTGAGTCTCTATAGAGGAATCTGAACTTTGGCCTCGTGCGCCACGCCTTAACCGACTCCAATCGGGGCCAAAATTTATATGTGATATCTTCGACTATAGTAGTATCGATTTTGGGTATTAGATAAAACAAATATTTTTAATTTTTTGAGTCTCAAAGTCAAAATTTGTATGTGATATCTGTGACCGTGGTATTACCGATTGAAGGGGAGAGACTGAAAGAAATCGCTCATTTAATTTTCAAGGACCACCCTAATATACATACATCTGTATGTATAAATATGTATACGTTCATTGGTGTATTGTACCGTATTCTTAATGCCTGTTTTCTCAAAAACTAGTTTCTGATACAAGAATCTACCTTTGACTTATCTGTTATCTTTAATATTAATGTGAGGTTTACACAAGGCATATCAAACAGGTAGCATTAGAGCAAAAACAACATTTCCGTGCATTTTGTTGTTGCTTCTGGTATCGAAAGTGTCATAAACTGTTCTGAGTTTTTTCTTCTAAATCAAAGCGTGCCATGTGAAATACAAAAAAAAATAAAAAATTTAAATTGGAAAAAATAAAAATTTTTGCAACTTTCTTTCTTAGAAAAGCAATCCTTTGCAAGGCCCAGTAATCAGCGGTTGTGCTGCTGACCTGGGCGAATGTTCCAAAAGCTGCTATTCAATCGCTTGTTTCGTATGGAAAAAGGTTTCACATGCAAATACCCAGTGGGAATTAGGAGCACGTAATAATACCTTATTAGCAACTTACTCTTCACCTGGCAGTCATTACCATTTCCCTGCCGACCGTCCCTTACTTTTACAAAGGCATGGCCGCCTTATGTAAGTTGGAATTTAGAATGTACATTTGGTATCAGACATACTTCTGAGCCGCTTTACAAAGTAAGTTACGTGTAATGCAGAGCAGTCGCTCGGAGTAGTTCGGTGCTTGGAAATAACTTCGGCTGCACGTTATTTTGCAACTGACAACGTAATGTGTCTTCGGAGGTGTTCATTTTGCCCTTTACTAGTAGATGACATTGGCCATGATGACAATTTTGGTACTAAAAACTGAAAGAAAACATGGCTTACCTCGCAAGGTGCTTACCTATTTTCCCAGTGGGTAGATTCCAACAATATACATACATAGAATTTTTGTAAGAATAAATTAAAAATAATTGAAATTTGACCAAATAATTTGAAAAAAAAAAATCAAATCATTTGCTCTACTGATACTACCTGTTCAATGTGCCTTGGGTTTACAGTAAAATTTATTTTTGGTTTCCAAAGTTAGAATTAACATCAGAGATGGCAGTCACATATACAGGTGAAGGCATTGAGTCCCTGCAGTAAAGTTTGGAGACAGTCTGGCAAAGCGCTGGTTCCGAACTACATATTTCAAAACTATCTCTGAACTGGTGCAAAACGGCTGCAGAGCGGGACAATTGAAACTTGCGGTGTAAGTGTACTAATTCTTACTTCTCGTACAATATGAAAGTAGCTCAGCGAGAAGACCTCGGACTCAAGCATCGTTGGTCGCGAGTTCAAATCGTGGTGGAGTCAGTTGTGAGTTTTCAGATTTAATGAATTCAAATTGTTGCGTACAATAATTTTTTTGTTATAAAATATATAACAAACATGGAATCTGTAAAAGAAAAAAAAAACGAACAAAATATCCCAAAATAATCTTAAAAACGTTTTCTGGGCGACAATTGCCACCGCCAATGGCATCGCCGTATAAAAGTAGACAGTTGAAAGCATTGTTTGGGTATTGAGCTAGAACTAGTACTGTCGGCAAAAGGTCTAGCTTTGAGCTAGTCAGATTTTCTGCAGGGATATAAGACCTCTATACATACAATGTATGTCCTAAATAAACAAACTAAATTTTATTGGAGCGGCAAAAAACGCAACACCTTTGTTGGGAAACTTCAATGACGATTCTAAAAAATCTAGTTTATCTATTGTTCTTAAATACGTACCTATGTTAATGGCATGTAGTAGATATACGTTGCTGTTTTTCTTTTTATACCATATCGATATTTAAGCAAATAATTATATTACCTTGCAACCTAAGTGTCTAAAATCATGTTTTTCCTAAAATGTAAATTTTATTTCAGATTACGGTAGAATACCTATCCAGTAGAAATGGGTGTGGCGGTTTTAGGGCTAAAGTAAAGTAACATCCAGATTTTTTCGGATTCCGGCAAAATATATCTTTGTTAACATTTGTTCCGCTAATTTTGCTTAATCGAAGAATATTCTGGCAATGAGCATGCCAATTTTTTTACCAAAGAATGTCTATTCACTTACAATGTTTGTTTCGCAACTTCTTTTTGTAAGATAAGAAAGTTTTATTTTGAAATTATTGCAAATTAATTTTTTCAAAGCTACAGAGTATAAAGAAGGGGGTAACCCGGCCATGTACTTCAAATAGGAGTTTCACACTTTACTACACATTCGCATTTTTTAAATGTTTAAAAACATCAATAGCATTTTCTCAGCGTAAGTAATGTGGAAGGTATAAGCGTTAGAGTAAATGACTATTTTCGAAAATGAACTATGCATGTTTTTGATCAGCGCCGTAAGTTTTCAGTACCATGCGAATTTTTAAAGTTCATTTCCCCACTAATTTGATATACAAAAGATTTTAAAATAAAACCCTTTTTAGGGGTCGGCAACGCGCTCTGTACCAATTTTTTGGTATAGACCATGCAGCTTTTAAAACCTGGGTTAATACATATGTATGTTTTGATATGTTTTCGGACACGTACTCCAAAATCGGCTGCGTTTCAGAGGTCGGCAAATGGTTTTGTTTATGAGCTACACATCCCTAAATCTATATATCTCAAAGAACTATATAATTTACGTAGGTTGTCATTAAAAAAGTTCCTATTAATATATGGTTTTTCCCAAAATATATTTAAATTTGAGAGCTTTTCTCGAGATCCTTCCATATACATAAATCTGTATACATATGTCAATTTTTAAAAACCAAAAAAAGGAACCTTGCTAATTAAAAGCCGTATTCAAATGCAACTAATTAGCCTGAAATCTAGATTTAGTTTTATTAAGAGTTAAATAAGTACACTTGACAAAGAAACCTATAGAATAAAAAGAAATGCATGCAATAGTTGGAGATATTTTCGAACTATGGGAATCAATACCTCACCTATACATATACCAACTCAAGTACATATATGTATGTGTGTAAATACATAAGTACATATGTAAGCACAGGCGAAAGCAAAACGAATAAGAGACACTCCTAGATCCATTTCTTTATGAATAACTGTTGTGTAATTTGCCTTTTGGAAAAGTTAATATTCATAAAATAGATTTTTGTTTCACAAGTTTAATTTTGATTTCACGAATATTATTTAACTTTACTCATTTCTATGCAAGGAGAGTGTATAGTGGCACAAATTTACGAAAATTACGCCACAAAGAAGTAAAGGCTAGTTAAAAAACAAACACAATGCAATTAAAAACTGTGAGCGTAGAGAGCTATTAGCATTTAGCGCGTAGCGTATTATGTAAAATAAAATCTTAGTATTGTCCACAAACTGGGCTAGAGCGCCTTAGTTCTATTTAGATAAAGTTCGATTTGTGTAATAAGGTCGCATTTTCCAAAAAACAAACTGTAAAAGAATAAAATGAATAAGTGTATTGATGTGAAGTTTAGTCACATTGTAATTCGGGACGTAGGTGTATTGTCTTGTGGGTTCGGGTACATGCGTCACATTTCCAACCTGTTGGGCTCCCTGGAAGGCGTGATAGTAACAGGACACGTATGTCATAATAGCGCGTTCATCCGGCTTAGGAGTGTTGATCAAATCTAGCAGATAATTTTTTTAAGGTTGTGGAGAATTTATAAAAAATTAAAACTAATTTAAATTTGGGTTTTATCATATTATATGAGCATTAAAATACTATATACGTACATACATAAATAAATTACTATATGCATACATTCGATTGGGGGTTGTATATATCACGTCTTGTTAGACCTTAGCGGACGTGGTGAATGTTTATGAAAAAATAATTCAGGTCTACAAAAAATCGTTTTAAGAAAAAGGCAAAAACAACATTCATATTTCTAGGGTACAATCAGAAACCGTTTTTTCAGATTGGTTCTTGTTTGCGAATTATTGTAAAATTCAAAAAAAAAAAATGTTTGGTTTCCAAATGTCTAAAAGCTATATCATCACCATTTATTTATGCAAACGAATTCGCAATATTTGATCTCGCATGAATAGGAAAATCATACTTTGATATACTTTTGTCTACGCCTTGGTATCATATAGTCGAATATTCTTTTTTCAAAAATAATACGAAAAAAAATCGAGGTATCCCAATTGCTTCTATAGTGTCATAACTCAAAAAAAGCAAAACTCGAGAAAAACGGCTTTAAAGTTTTGGATTTACATATACTGCCACGGTAAAAATTAAAACATATTTTGTCCTAGTGCGATACGGTTTATCGACACAGCTAGGAAATTTTTCCACAACGTACTCAGTAGCACCAAAGTCAAAAATGCATCAAAATATTTTGCGTATTTTTTGCATCGGCGTGATATACATTTTCAATATAAATAATATGCCATTTCTAAGCGCAGTGTTTTAACAGTTTATTTGGATTCAGTGTTAAGGTTATACCGCTTTTTCGTGTATTATTTATACTGTAAATACACGTAAAATTTTTATACTGATTTTCGGTATATACATATATTACGCCAGTGGTATACAAGTTTTCTTGTTTCCAGAACATTAAATAAACTCCGTTGGTGTAAATAATACACCATAATGGTAAATAATTTACATCATATATACTTTCATGACTGTGAAGAGTAAAAATGATTGATGAAAAATTTACTACTAATCAAATTTATAATTAACTCGGACATAAAATTTACACCGAAGCTTGTTTTTACCTTCTTACCTTTCTTTTATTAGCTCGGGATGTAACTATGTAATATTGATGCGCCTAAAAGATGCAGCGATTTCTATTCTCAAGTTACTCACCTGATGACAGTACGAATGGCAATTATAATAGGGAGGTTTTAGTTTTTTAAACTATAATTTTTTAATCTGCACGACTTGGATAAATCTCAGCATTCCTCTTCATAATATGCAGGCATGTGAGTTCCTAATTTAAAAACGAGGTACATTCTGTCGAGTGAATTTCGGTCCTACCCACTCAAAAAATCGTGCGTCTCAAAATGTATAAGGATTTTAAGATTTTTAAATAAATCTGGAAAAACTTTTATTTTGAAAGCAATGATTTTTTGGCCATTATTAAATTTTTAAGAGATGCGCTGTTTAAAAAACGGTGGAAAATACCCATAAAGTGGCATAGTTGAGCCAATGTACATAATGAAATTAAATTAGTTAAATTATAGCATTTTCTTTTCTCAAAAAAAGTTCTGCCCTTTTATATGGGAACTCTTGCTTTGCATTGCCCTGAAACCTGAGAAAATGTTGCGTTCTTTATATGAGAATGAAACAGAAAATATACTACTCCATCACAATTTATTTAAAGAACTTAATAAAGCTGAATTATTCACTTGGCCTGTAAGTCTTTAACAATTTTAAAGCAAAACACTTATTTCTGATAGGGAAAATAATTGCATTTTTACAAGATTAAATTAAAAATCAACCATGCAACTCTCACGCTCACGTTTATTTGAGGGCAGAAAAGGCAGCACTTTCGCCGGATCAGAGCGCAACCTTCTGAGAAAAGAACACGACGCCTTGTGAAAGGGCTGAGAAAAGAACATGAAAATGTGACAGCGCTAACACAAGGCAGAATAAGTGCAGCCTTTTTTCGAGAAAAGAAAACGCTATTAGTTAAATAAAAGCCATACGGCTTTAATATGGGGGCCCGCCGAGTTTCAGTATTAGTTTACAACCTAGCGTATTAGCATAGCGAGAATACAACAAAATCGCTTCTAACCATCATTTACATAGTATTTCGTGTTTATCGCTGTGCAAGCAAATAAAAAATATACGTTTTGTTAAAACAAAACTTTTTCTCATATTTAAACCCCAAAAAAATAAAAAAAAATGTACATATGTACATATTTATGTACATATATAATAAATTAAACATCTCTTCTACTGCTATTATATACAATACAATATGCTTAGGTTTCGGCATAAATTGTCAAAAGGTTGTAGAAACAAATAAACATATATAAGGGGAGCTGTTACGTAGCAATGTATCACAAGTTTTGTTGCTTTCCAAACAACAAAATGCGTGCTAGATTGCTACGTAGCAACTTTAAATCTAAAATAATACTCATCGTGAACTCCCCGATTATAAAAAATAGTCGTGTAAGATTTTGCTACACTTTAAACACTGGCTACTTTTTAATCGCTAGCGGTTGTGCTGGCGAAGAGGTTTCTTTTGATTGAGCGATTTCTATTGCATCGCGTAACGCTATTACTATAGGTTGTGAACTTTTTTTGAGTTTGGTACAAAAAAAATTTAACAAGCCAAAAGAACGGTGTATTAATTTTGCCCTAGATACAATTCAATTTGAGATTTTGGTATAAAAAATGTTTCTTGTTAAATGAACAAGACGAAGTTTAAAAGGTGTTCGCACGAGGCGATTTTGCGTTAAACTTTGGCATTCAACTCACGCAGGGTGGCGGTATGCAGAATGTTGCGGTGAATATCCCCCGACGGCATCGCTCCGTCCGACGAAATTCGCTCAACGATTTGGTTCTGTTTATACTTTATATGAGTCGTTTTTTTTTGTAAATGGGCATAAGTCATTTCCACCTCTTGTTCTTGAATGGTTGGCTACTTCTAACTGAATGCATCTGTAAATCGCTCTACCGTCATTAACTAATGACGAAACTTCTTACCTTTGGCTGATGAAATCGACGCGTTCACATACGGTTAAATGATCACTGAATTCAAACGGCATAAAATGACTTACGCAACTTTCAAAACAAACGGCTCATATGTAATTTGTAAATATAAGCGAACAAAAACAAATGTTCTAGGGACTTATTAGTATGTTCCAGTCAAAGCAGAATACATATGCAGCAGAACTGTACAATTTCAAAAGCCTTCCCAGGATTTTGGAAGGACCTTGAAATTTGAGGAAATATTCAGTAGTGCGCATCACTCGCCTCGCAGTAAAGTATATGGCTCCATTTTATATATATGTATATGTATTTGTAGAAAATTGTTCGTTAAAAATACTAACGGTGCAACTAAATTTTTTAATATATCTTTGACAAATAATATTCCATTTACGAAATCTTTACTAGATTAAACGCCGGATTTGCAACTAATGGCTAAACTATTTATGTTCTTCTTATTTGTTGAATTTAACACTTTCATATTCGTTTTCATAAATAAAAGTTTCCCATTGTAAAGGAAAATATAGCTTTCAGAATTTTAGCAACCAAACCATTTGTAAAATTAGCAAAAATTCGCGAACCAGAACCAAATTGAAAATGCGAAGAGTATACATATTCGGAATAAACGTCTTAAATATATGTACCATAACAATTTGAGTGCTGTTCTTGCCTTCTCTTGCCTATCGATCAGTGTTATTAATACAAAATTTCAATTCAATTGGATAACGTTAAGGCGTACCATCAAAGCTGGTATATAGAAGTTGTATTCTATATTTTAAGTTTTTTCACCATTGCCTGCCGTTCCTTAATCGGCACAAGGTGATTCCTGTAAATCTATGGTTTCACACTGCACAGTCAACGCTTCTTCGGTCGGATAGGCTTGAAACCTGTTTTCCATTTTTCCTAAAAACAATCTTGGCAAAAAGCTCAATAACCTTGTTGAAATAAATATTACGCCACACTAACAATAACAAAGAAGTAGTTTGGGATCAACCGATCTAAAGCTATACAATAATTCTAATTAATGTATAGAACTAATAATAACAACCACGCTGTCAAGTTGAAATAGCGGCGAGACCGCCGCACTTGAGTGGAAAAGGTTGTACTATAAGGAAATCGATCAGCAACAAGAGTTTACGGGCCGTGCTTAGTTTAGTGGCTAGCGTTTCTGAGTTTTCACATCGATGATTCGAGTTCGATCCCTGCTGAAGTCTAAAGGAAAAAGTGTTAGGAGGAGATGTGGTGATGTGGTGATATCTGAAACAGCAGCTATCACTTCTGCCGCTTAGACTTTGTTGTTTTTCGATTTTTCAGGATTGGAAAATGCTGTAATTTTTTAATTTACCCCTCTATTCTAACAGAGTCACAACACTTAGCTCATCACTGTTGTGATTTCTAGTGCGCCGAGAAATGTGTCACACAAAATTCGATTTTGAGTGCTAGAAAAATACACAAAAATTTAAAAATTTGTATTGTAGCGGCATATTTTTTGCAGCGGCACGCTTTGAGGCGCAGTAGAATTCACAGCAGTTATGAGCTAAAGTTTGTGACTTTGTTAGAATACGGCTGTTAATTTGATTTTACTGAGCTTTGACTTCGGCATGTATGATATTGAAAGCAAAGCAACAGCAATCAAGAAAAAAGTGAATGTTTTGGCTGCCGTTTTGCTATGAAATTATAAAAGCAACCAGACAGTTCTAAAGCAATTTGTGAAAGCACAACGACACCGCGGCAGCAGCAAAGCAGCAGCAATTTGACTATCACCTTGCTGTGAAGCATCAAATTAGCAGAGTATGCATGCACAAATGCACTAGTGGCTTACACTAGGGGTATTCTCGATCTGATGCATACTGTCTAGCACGGTGCACAGATAGCATATATAGCATGATTCGATAATTTTGTTGTTGTTTGATGTGTTCAACAAACAACAAAATTAGCCAATCATGCTATTTATGCTATCTA